TGTGGTGCTGGGGGATTGAACCGTGGTCCCTGTGTTTTGCTTAAGCTTAGCTTGTTCTAAGTGGGTGCTTTAGACCACTGAGCCATCTCACCAGCGCATTCTGGCTTTGTTTGATTTGCCGCCTGGAGTCACTGTGTTGTTTTTTTTGCTTTGTACACATAAGCACATCTCTTGCTCAAGTAGAATTCTTTCATCCCAGGCATAAACACCTTCAGTTTTAAGAAGAGCTGTGTGTTCCCTCTGGTTCTGCAGACCCCACTCATAGCCAGCAAAAATCGCCTTGCACCACAGTCTCCCAGACATACTGGCCTTTTAGAAGTCCTGTTCCCAGCAGGACTTAATTGCCCCCCAACTCCCCTCCTTGTTCAGTTTTATGCCTGCTAAATGTAATAGTAGATATGTGACCTTACAGTCCTATCTTATCTGTATTCCACTGTCCCAGTACATTCATTTTGTAACCTTGTAATCCTCAAAGTATACTTGAAAATTGGAAATATAAATGTGAACTTTCTGCAGCTAGGCTGATTAGAATTGTCTCTCAAGACCAGACAGCTATATGAAAGACAAATGCAGTCTGAAGGAAAAATAAAAAACAAGGGAAACGTGAAAGGCAGACTATAAAATAGAGGATTTCAGTGTGTACTGACTTAAGAGTGCTCAGTGTGCTAGCATGAAATCTGAGAGTTACTAAGAATAACTTATCTAGGCAGTCAGGTCTGGGGTGTGGGAGAGAGAGCAGAATCCTGACTCAGATGCTGTGCTCCTTGCTTGGATATTGAGTAGGACTGTCTGTTTCATCTTTTTTGAGTAGTCCAGAGTCATTGCCCACTTTCACTGGGGAGCTTTTGTAGGCTGCAAATGATTCTTGCACTCCTTGGAAAGGATATTTTTAGATTGGATTATAGTTCATAGCGTTTTCCAGCTTTCAGAAGAGCAAGATCTAACCTATTTCTCTTAAAGTAAGTAGTTATTCTTTTTAAGTTAACTTTCCAAATGTGCTTATTGACTGCAAGATTTTTAAGTCAAGTACAAAAGAATATGTTAAAAATGAAGCTGTTGTTACCTTTTGTTTTTTTTCTTTGTGTATTGCATTGATTGATTGATTGATTGATTGATTGTATTGCATTTAAAGTCTTGGAGCATTTATCTGTCAGTTAGGTTGATTTATCTTTCTATCTTATACTTCTTTTTTCTTTTTTTTTGGGGGGGGCAGTACTGGGGATTGAACCCAGGACCTTGTGCTTGCCAGGCAAGCGCTTATTCTACTGAGCTGTCTCCCTGGCCCCTCCTTCTAATGATAGTATTCTCTCTGCCCAGCCCAAGGACATACCATCTAAACTCAAGAAAAAGTTTGCATCTTCAATTTTGACTTACAGAAGATTATTCTCTCCACAGATTTTTGCAGCTCAAGTGGCAGTCCTTCTTTTCAGACTATTAAAAGCCACATAACCATTCCAACAGCCCATGTGATGCCTTCTACTTTGGGGACCTCACCTGCCAAGCCAAATTCTATACCTGCTGGATCCTCTTCCTCCAAACTTCCTTTGTCAGGGTTGGCTGAAAGTGTGGGGATGACAAGAAATGGAGACTTTGGTGCAGTGAAACGTTCTCCAGGCCTGTCTAGAGATCTCATGTATCTTTGTGGTGCTACAGAGGAAAATGGCATTGAGCAGTCTCGCTGGTTTCCAGCAGTGGGCCATGAAAGAAAAGAAGAAATGAGAAAGTTTGATGTTCCTAGTGTGGAACCTACTGTCAATCAGTCTGCCATAATTGATACACTTTATTCAGATCCCCACTACCGAGTCCACTTCCACAATTCAAGAACTGAACCAAACAAAGAGTTATATAAAGTATTGCCTGAGACCAAGAAAGCACCAGGCAGTGGAGCAGTATTTGAGAGGAATGGACCACATTCTAGCAGCAGTGGGGTGCTCCCTTTGGGACTCCAGCCTGCTCCTGGGCTTTCTAAACCTCTATCCTCTCAAGTGTGGCAACCAAATCCTGACCCTTGGAATCCTCGAGAGCAATCTTGTGAACTTAGTACTTGCCGACAGCAGCTAGAATTAATACGTTTACAGATGGAGCAAATGCAGGTTAGAAACCCTTAGATTTTGTAGGTTGTATGTGATTCTTAGAACTGTATAACCTTTACCCTATAATGGTTTTTGTTCTTTTATTTTAAATTTTAATGCAGTCTCAGTAAATTGCTCAGCTAGGTTCAAACTTGGAATCCTTCTGCTTTGGCCTGCTAGAGCAATGGGATTTCAGTTGTGTACCACCACACCCAGTGTACCTTATAGTGTGTGTGTGTGTGTGTGTGTGTGTGTGTGTGTGTGTGTTTTGAGACAGAGTCTTGCTATGCAACTCAGGCTGGCCTTGAACTCACTATGTAGCTGATGCTGGTCTCCCCCTCATGACAATCCTACTGCCTCAGCCTCCTGAGTACTGGAATTACATATGTGCACCACTGTGCCCAGCTCTACCCTATAAATCTTAACTCTAAAGAGAACAGTTGTTAAGAAATAACAGGGGTTGGGCCGGCCAAATAGCTCAGTGGATTAAAGTGCCTGCTTAGGCAGATGTAGCAGTCAGGGTTTGTTCCTGTTGTGTCGTGCCAGCCCTGCCTCCAGGGAACATTGAGCTGGTGATGGAGACTGCGCAAGGTGGCACGCATCTGTAATCCCAGCTCTTGGGAGGCTGAACACAGGCAGATCACTATGAGTCTGATCTACATAGTGAGACCTGTAGATCCTGTACTAAAATACATATAAAAAGGGGGGGGGCAGGTATATAGCTCAGTGGCACAGCACCTGCCTGGCAAGCATAAGGTCCTAAATTCAACTCCTGGTGCTAAGCAATCAATAAAAGAAATAAGGTATTTGTAGATAGGAAATGAAAGATTGTGAGTTCTGGGTCATTGAACCTGTCAGTGGTCTGATCAAATACCAGATACACTCAGCAAAGTAAAAGGAAGACTATAAGGGAAACAGGGTATGGTGGCATGTACCTCTGATCCCAGTACTTGGGTGGCTGAAGCAGGAGGATTATTGTGAGTTTGAGACCAGCCTGGGCTATAGAGTGAGTTCAAGGCCAGGCTGAGTTGCATAGTTTTTGTCAAAAAGACCAAAAAAAAAAAAAAGACTATAAGTAAAAACCCAAAAGGTACCTGATAAGGTAAATATAGGAACTTACCAGGTCCTTGGAGTAATCTGTTCAAGCCCATAAAGCTGATAAGTGGCATAACTAAGGTTTAAAAATCATCTTTGAGGGCTGGGGAAATAGGTCAGTAGAATAAATGCTTGCCTGGCAAGCACAGGGTCCTGAGTTCAATCTCCGGTCCTGAAAAAAAAAATCAATAAATCAATAAATCACATTTGAACCACTGTCTTCTTTTCAGTGTACTACTTTTGTATTTTTTTTTAATGTCCTTATGTAGCTAAAGAATGAGAAGGAATGAAGCAGGGCATATTTACCTTCCCTTGCCTGGTTGTTGAGGACATCTTAGCTTCTAGTTTGCCACTATATGCAGATAATAAAAGATAACTGACCTTAGAAACTGGACTCTTTCTGAACAGGAGTGTTTAGTTGGCAGATCTGGCAGGTTCTTTCCAGTCATGCATCAGAGCTAAAATTATTTCATAAACATTAGCCTTACCAGGCTGAGCCAAACTGGGCCTTGATTCCAGACCCATGTAAGTACTACACAGATGTTTTTAGGTGCTTAGAGTCAAGATCAAGCCCTTCCATCCTTTTTGTCTTGTAGCTTCAGAATGGAGCCATCTGCCATCATCCTGCTGCTTTTGCTCCTTTTCTGCCCACCATAGAACCAGCACAGTGGATCAGCATCTTGAACAATAATGAGCACCTTCTGAAGGAGAAGGAACTTCTCATTGACAAGTAAGATAGCTGCGGATCTCATTCAGCAGTATAAGTGACTGCCTGGCAAGTGCAAGGTCCTGAGTTTGATTCCCAGTTTAAAAAAAAATTAAATTAGATGGCTCAGTGGTCTGAAATACCTACTTAGAACAAGCTTAGCAAAGCACAGGGACCGCGGTTCAATCCCCCAGCACCACATGCCAGCCAGCCCCACCCCCTGGTGGGCTGAGCTGGCCACACACACACACACACACACACACACACAAATAAAAAAATTAAAAATAAAAAAAAATTACACAGACACGTAAGATGGCAAGGGGTGCTGCAAGGGCAACTTTCCTATGAGGACTTCTAATGAGATCCTCCAAGGGCAGTACACTTTTGTGCTCAGGCTCACACCGTGTCTTATGGTAGATGTACACTGATAAGTAGCCTATTGTATCTGTGAAACACAAGTTCTGTAAATCTGCAGGAGCTTGAGGGGTTAGCTGATTTATTGCCACTGATCTTTTTTTCATCTATCCTCAGTCCTCTGTGTGTGTGGGTGAGTGGTAGTGGGGGGCTGCTTTGCCACTGAGCTACATCCCAACTTCATTGTGTGTGTGTATTTAATTTTCAGATAAGGTCTCACTAAATTGCCTATCTGAGACTTGAATTTATGATGCTCCTGCCTTAATTTCCCAAAGTGCTGAGATTATGGACATGTGCCACTGTGTGTTTCTCATTTGTTTTTCTTTGGTTTTTTTTTTTTTTGGTGGAACCGGGGATTGAACTCAGGCCCTTGCACTTGCCAGGGAAGCGCTTATTCCACTATGCCATCTCCCTGGCTCCTCTCATTTGTTTTTCTTCAGAATTTAAATGTCCAGAATCAAAGTTTTTGCTTACATGGTAGGGATCATTATTCATCTGTCTAAGGAAAGTAGGGGCTTGTATTATAAGGGACTTAGTATTAGGATCCAGAAATGTTTCTATTGGTTTTTGCAGGCAGAGGAAACATATTTCTCAACTGGAGCAAAAAGTACGAGAGAGCGAACTACAAGTCCACAGTGCTCTTTTGGGTCACCCTCCCTTTGGGGATGTCTGCTTGCTGAGGCTGCAGGTAAGCACTAGCAGCTAAGATGGCATTTTGCTTGTCACAACTCTTCCTGTGCATCATTAGATATCCAAGAGATAAAAAAGAGATCAAAGAATAACCATATTATAAAGCATCCTTTGTTGTGCCCTTGTGAGGATGGAAAAATCTTGAATCAAGTGAAAGTTTGGATACTTTGGCGTCAGGACATACTTGGAAGGAAAGGAAAGCAGTACGAGATAGATGGTAACTTCCTGGCATTGGGTGATGCTGTGAGCTCTGGTCCAAATTGAGGGAGAAATGGACAAGGGAGAATTAGTGTGGCTATAATTTTTATTCTTCCATGCTAGGAGTAACTAAAGAAAACGATATTATAGAGGTTAATATGTATGGGATTTGAGTTCTTGAAAAGAAGCCTTTTTTTTTTTTTGGAGAAGATTTCACTGTGTGTACCAGGCTGGCCTCAAACTCACAGTGATCTTCCTGCCTCGGCCTCCTGAGTTCTGGGATTACAGATGTGTGCCCCCGTATCCGACAACTGACTGGTTTTGCTTTTAGTTTTGGTGGAGGTTTTTTTTTTTTTTTTCTTTTCAAAACAGAGTCTCACTGTGTCGTCTAGGCCGGCCTAGAACTCATGGCACTGCTGTCTCAGCCACCTGAGTGCTGGGATGACAGGCATGTACTGCCTCTGCCTGCCATGTACTGCTTGTTTAACCAAGCCTTTACAATTTGGGCTTTTTTTTTTTCCCCCAGAACTGGCAATTTGGGCTTTTGAGTGATGAGTATTATAGGCCCTAATACTGGCTTTGCCACATAGTAGGCTTCTTAAGGCAGTATTCCATCTTATAGAATCAGGATGTTAAAGTGGGAAGGGCCTTTAGGCAGAAATCTAGTTAAGTCCTCTAATTTACTGATGAGAAATATTGAACTTCAAGAAGGAGAAAGTACTTGCCTAAGATCATATAGTGAGTGAGTGGAGGAAGCCAGGTTCCAAGTCTTGAGATGTCTTATACTACGTTTCTTCCAATATATATTACAGTCCCTCAGATAATTGCTTTAAAGCAGTAGTTCTCAAACAGAATCACCTGGAAAGTGTACTACAACACAGATTATGATGATCCATCCCCAGAATTTCTGATTCAGTGGGCCTATGACTAAGGTTCTAAAATTTACATTTCTAAAGTAATTCTATGCTAATACTATTGGTTTTTGTACCACATTTGGTAAGCAGTGCTTGGAGAAAGATGATACTTGGCCATGAAGTGTGCTGGGAATAAGTACAGAATATGAAGCTGTTGTAAGGGTAGGGAACAGTTAATGTATGAAGTATCTTTCTGACAGGAATTGCAGCGAGAGAACGCTTTCTTACGTGCACAATTTGCACAGAAGACAGATGCCTTGAGCAAAGAAAAGATGGAGCTTGAAAAGAAACTTTCCGCTTCAGAAGTTGAAGTCCAGGTCATCAGAGAGTCTCTCAAAGTGACGCTACATAAGCATTCAGAGGAGGGGAAGAAACAGGAAGAAAGGGTGAGTTGAGTTGATAGCTCTCTGATGCACAAGGGTGTTGGCAGTTAGCCCTCTCTGCCAACAGCCTAAACTGTTTCTGCCTCATTCTTCGAACCAGGAAAAGCCAGTTAGGTGAGACCCTTCTTTGGCTTCACACAAGACCTATTTACTGGAAATGTAATCCCTCCTTTCTTCTTCATCTTCACAAAAATACCCTAATCAGGGAAAATGTGTCCCGGGTTATAAGGTGCTGCCAGCTCTTGTAGGTGGGAAACCAGCCTGTGCAGTCATACCAGGTGGCACTATTGCAAGATGTTTGAATACCTATGATAAATTTATTCCACTCTCTGCTTTCATTTCACCCTATTAAAAAAAGTAGAGAGACATTCCACATGCGTGCTACTTTGGGATTTTATTTCTCCCAGTGTTAGTATTTGCATAGAGCTTCCTAGACTGAAGCCCAAATTCTTGAGGAACAGGTTTGGCCCTCAAGAATATTTGAATCAAAATCATCTAGAATAGGGGCTGAGGAGATGGCTCAGTGGAATAAGTGCTTCCCTGACAAGTGCAGTGGCCTGAGTTCAATCCCGGGTTCTGGGGGGAAAAAAAAAAAAATCAGCTGGAATAATGCTTCTCATCTTTTTTTTTTTTTTAAAGGCATATTCTTGCTCTGTTTCCCAGGCTGATCTCAAGCTCCTAGGCCTAAGCAATCTTCTTGCCTCAACCTCTAGAGTAGTTGGGACTGCGGATATGTGCCACACACCCTGATTTCTCAGACTTTAAGAATTGTTTGAGGACTGGTGAGAAGGCTCAGTGGTCTAAAGCACCTACTTAGAACAAGCTTAGCAAAGCACAGGGACCGCGGTTCAATCCCCCAGCACCACATGCCAGCCAGC